AGTAGTAGTAGTAGTAGTAGTAGCAGTAGTAGTGCTAGTAGTAGTAGTAGTAGTAGTAGTAGTAGCAGTAGTAGTAGTAGTAGTAGCAGCAGTAGTAGTAGTAGTAGTAGTAGCAGTAGCAGTAATAGCAGCAGTAGAAATGCTGCTATTACCACGACTACTACTACGAGTACTTCTGCTGCTATACTGCTACTACTACTACTACTACTACTACTACTACTACTACTACTCCTACTACTCCTACTCCTGCTCCTGCTGCTGCTGCTGCTGCTGCTATTACTGCTACGACGGCGACGACTACTACCATTACTGTTACTATTCCTACTATTACAACAGCAACTACTACTACTGTGGTTCTGGAGGTGGGTTGGGGTTTGGAAGTAAGGATGTCATGGCACTCGTTGCCACGCGGAACCCTGCCATGCAGTGCCCTCGGATGGCCATGCGGGGCCAAAACTACTATTACAAAATACTAGTAGAACGAAATCCAACAAGTCTCTTCTGCAGCAGGGGTTGCTCCCAAGCACACATTGCAGTGCTTGAACGAGCTCCCACTTTAGAAAGGAAGCTGCAGCACTTCAACCTCTCGGAGTCCTGGCTGCTTGTGGAAGACATCTTGAAAAGGACTTCCGGGCTGGCCGTAGGGGGAAGTAAACCTCCTCCTCTGATTCTTGCCAAGCGTGGTATCACCAGGTCTTGGTGTGTCTTAGCGCCTTGGTGCGCTCATTTCATGCGATAGCTCCTCGGAAAATGCATTCCCTCACTGTCGAGCTTTCGAGGACAGGCGAGGTACTGCGGAACCTGGGTGCAGCTCTGACGAAGAACTTTTCTGGCGTGGCCCCGCTGACCTATGTCCTCCCGGATTTTGAGGCAAGGAGGGCTGATTGGTCATGGCTGGCTCGTGTCGCTGCCTTTGCATTGCGTGGGCTTGTGATCCCAAGATTGGACCGGCAAGTACTCAGACTTCTACGGGGTGAGGGCTCACTGCATTTTGGCAATTTGGGGCCATGGGGTATTTGTGTGCATCTACTGATACTGTGCCATTGCATCCCGAAAGCAAAAGAAGCCTTTCTACATCAGCTCCTAGCTTCTTGAGACCAGAAGAATATTTCGCCCCAGTCCAACATCTTCACTTGGCGAGGAAGACATGGCAGGCTACGTCCAGGAAGAGCCCTCTTCTTGTCAACAGGACACCTTTCCTGAGACGGCTTTCGTCATGCACCCTGGTCATCCTTCTCCTTCAAGTCAACTTCCACCAATGCCCGCTTTGTAGGAGTCGGCTCATCCCTGTCTTGGAAAGCGTCAACTGTCGGGGCATCGGGGTTTTCTTGTGCTCTGCCAGCGACAGGATTCCAACTCCGGGCGGCAGCGCGTTACTTTGACGGCTGAACGGGTGGCAATTCCCGAGGCCCTTTTCCGGCCCCAGGACGGGCTGTCAATCTTACACATACCAGCACAGGGATGTCGCCGTAAGTTGCGGGTTTTGGGATTTCATAACTCGAGCTAGCAGATCCTCACTGGGTATGCTAATCCCTGACGCGTAGGTCGCAGAGTTAGATCTAACAAATGCTGTCTCTTCAGGACCACGGCTTGCCACTGTGTGGTTTGCCCGAGCTGCTTGGATACATTAAATGCTGCCGGTCCGAAGTTCTCGATAGTTCCACCCAGGCCATCCCAGGCCAACGTAGCTCCCATCCTGGGATGGTCGCCTGCAATTAAGGTTGGTCTATGCTGCCATCTTGGCGGTTCCGGAGGCCGAATTGGCATGTCCGTGAGAGCTGGCATGAGCATGTCCTTGTGAGGAGACTTGGCGACCCCATTTTGGCCGAGTGGTGCTTTGTGGCGGCCTCGCACGCCTCCCTGGCCTGGCATCGAGGCTCAGGCAGTCTCAGTGTGGGGAAGCGAGACATTAGCAGGGGTTTTTGATACGAGGGCCCTGGAATCAGAGTTCGTTCGTCAGCGTTGGACAGGCTTGACCTCCGCCAGCTGCTCCCAAGCCACTGGCCTGTCGAGGTTGCGTGATGTAAACGATGGCAGATCATTTCCATGGCGGAATCCTTTGCAGCTTATTTTGAACATCTTGATCCTTCATGCAGTTGCCCCACCAGAGCTATCATATTGATGTCAAGCCGAGACGTCGCTGCGAAGGCAACCTTGCAGCCGAAACCATATGATATCATATGATCGATCAAACCCTACTCAGCAAAACAGAGAAAGGTTTGTCTTGCCTTCGAACTTCAAGAATGTTTTATGTCTCCAGTTGCCTGGGAAGTTGCTGTGGATTTTTGTTAACTCCGTCCAGGTCATCGTAGAGGAGGAACCTGAGCTCTCATTCTGGCGAGGCTGGGTCCTCGTGTTGAACCTCGTACGGGACAGAACTTCGGCATGTTGCGTTTTCGCGAGGTGCAGCACAGCATGCTTTGAACTCTGACGAGTTGTGGGACGAGGCCTCGGGCTGTGAGCGAGGGCTGACTGAGCAATTGCCAGACCGGGTGCCAGGCGCGGCAGCGTGCTGCGCCAGACTCAGGCCTTTTTGTTTGTCTCGGCAGTTGCAGCGTATTTTGGCAGTTGCAGCAGGAGCCGGTCGGTGGCCGCCTTCGGATGGGGACACAGCAGCGTTTCCCCCACAGCGGAAAGACTTGTCTATTTCGTCATCGTTGGGCAGGTCGCAGGCGGGTGGTGAGGACACACCAGGCTCCTCGGGAATGCCCTCCCCGAACGGAAAGGGGCGAGGTAAGGGCAAGGCCAAGTCTGGACCCTCGGGGCGAAGGGTTACCACGGCCACAATCATTCCCGCCGTGAACGTGGTCGTGCCTTCCTCTTTCGCTCAGCCAGATTCCGCACCGATGCACCGAGCAGAAGAACATGAGCCAATGATGGGCAGCGCGGAGGCGAGCAACACTGCACAACCTACCCAGAAAGATCGCTTGCACCCATCGTGGGAATTGCAGGACGGCCAAGACTCTGCAGTTGACGTCGCACCTGCTCTAGCAGCTGCAAACGAATTGATACCTCCAGCATTGTCGCAGCCTTCGGATGCGTCTCCTGCATCCAGTAGCCCTGCAAGTGGCCTGGCAGAGTTCTACCCAGACCTGCCTGAAGAGTTGCAAGCCGACCTTCGTGAAGAGGCAAGTCACACTATTCCCCGTGGGTTCTTGAGCTAGATAACAAGAGATAATATTTTAGTGGCCGTTGCACACTCGTTGGACTAAAAGGTCCAAAAGGCAGACCAGATGTTGGTGGGTGGATACAGCCAATCCGGTATAAACAATTCGGCAAAAGGGCTTTAACCACAACGGTTTGTCCATGGGTTGACCTTGAGTCACTGCTGGCTGTGGGAGCATGAGTGCGCAGGGCTTCTCGACGTGGACACCCACGAGGAAGCGGCTGAAGCGCAAAGCGCCCGCGTCAGATTATGTGCAGCTGCGCAAAGGAACAGGATAAAACACAAGTCTCCCGACTGCTGTTGTCGGGCCTTGGATATTTGTCCTAGACATTCCTAGACTGCCCGAGTCCATGTTGAGCCGACAGTCTGTATGTAGCCTGCGCTGTCCATTCCTGGGAGTTTTGTAGTCGTGATTGGTGTATTGAGCCAGCTGTCATGCCGTCGGTGGTATGCACGGTCTCAACCTATGCCTGGAACGCGTTTGAGACACGGTGGCTGAGAGAATCGTCTATTCCAGCTCAATTCGCAGTGATGCCTGGCTGCAGCATTGCAGTGTTTGAGGGTGTGCATTCACGAGGATCTGGGATCCTGAGTCCCAGCCGTCGGAGCGAGGCCCAGCGATGGCAGAGGCCACAGTGAGGGAGCTCATCAACTTTGGCTTCTCCGAGGATCGCGCGCGCGAGGCCGGGCAGAAGCTCATGGTCTGTTCGGTGATCCTTCTTAGAGCAGCTGTCCCCAGTTAGAGATTTGTTTTTTAACCCAGGAAGACCGTATTGCGCAAGAGTCAGTCGGGGAGGTCCCGAGTTGGCCACCCGGGCTCGAGCAAGTTTGGTTCGTATCACAATCTTACAATCTTGTCACAGCGGGATACTGGGGGCAAGAAGCGGTTCCCGATCAAGTTCCAATGTTTGAATGTGAGTCTCGCCCGGGCTGGCTTCTGGCTTTTCTTCGGGTTCCGTGTCTTGTTGCTGCAGATGCGGCAGGCTGTCGAAAACATTGGGGACGTTTCAGATGTACAGCTGGCCATCAACTGGTTGTTGGATCATGGTGCCATGGCTTGGGAAATCAAGTATGGCATGGCGGTATGACATGCTGATCTTCATGCAGTGGTCCCAGCCAACCTAGAAATTCCGTCCAGAAAAAAGATCTGTAGCCATGCTCTGGAAGCGCTTGACAAAGTCTCAAGGTGATTCAATCTATTCAAATGTTCTGTGCGCAGTTCTACATGAAACTCAGGAGAGGAGGACAAGGGCGGCGCTGTGGAATTCAAGCATTGTCCTCACATCTGCGAGTTGCCCCTGGGCACTATTGTGAAGAAGGCAGGGCGGCAGGTCCATCATGATTGAACTGGACCGGGGGGCCGGGGGCTGTATGTGGTGCTTTCAGGTTTGGCTCCGGTGCTTGGTGGGGGAACGTAGGATAGCATACGGCGAATGGGAGGCATGAATGGTGGGGACCTGTGCGCAGGCAGCTCTCGAGTTCGGCAACCCGTGCGCCAAGGGATGCAAAGGCTCCGAGAAGCTTGGCATCAAGTGGTGGTTAAGGCGTAAGACTCATGCGACAGTCAGACTGCTCCAAGAAGTCTTCGCAAGCTGACGCAGCGCAAGGAACTGGGTGTGCCTTATGTGCGGAGTCACCCATTGCGGGCGATATGTCAACAAGCATGTGGCCCGACTGGGACTTCAGATTGCACAGGAAACTGCGGAGTTGCATTTCCCAAAGCCTGATGACGGAGGCTCTGCATCACTGGCGAGAGACGCGTGAGGCTGACTCACGAGCTCTCACCGTAGGCTCGGGGGGACATCGCGAATTGGGCCCAGAATAAATTTAGGTACTTTTGTTGTTGTTTTGTTTTTTTCTCAGGCATTTTTTGTTTCAGTGCAAAAGACTTCAGCATCAGACTCAGACTTCCTGTTTTA